TAAATGTTAGGATTGACATCTAAAGAATATAATGTAGCTAGGTACAAAGTGTTTAAAGAAATAAAAGATGGAATCATAAAGAACAGATCTGAAAAAGAACCAAATGGATCTGTTAGAAATGGAACAGATAGTTGAAATTTTTAAAATAACTCAGTTTATATGTTAAACAGTACATCAGACAAGTGAGGAAAGAACTTTTGAACTGGAAGATGAATCTGAAGAAACCACACAGAAAATAGAAAAGGAAATGGAAAATGTGTCAGATAATAAGAATCTGGAGGGTAGACGAGAAGACCTAACATATATGTTATATGATATATGTTGTATGATCAGTGTAGGGAAGTTGGAACCCTTGGCACTGTTAGGGGGAATGCAAAACTATGCAACTGCTATGGCAACTGGTATTGCTCTTCCTCAAAACAATAAAAATAGAATTATCATGTGATTCAGCAATTTTTCTTCTGGGTATATACATGTAAGAATTGAAGGCAGGGTCTCAAAGATGCATTTGCACACCCATGTTCATCATAGCATTATTCACAATAGCTGAAAGATAGAAGCAACCCCAGTGTCCATCAGTGGCTGAATGGAGAAGCAAATTGTGATCCATACATACAATGGAATATTATTCAGCCTTTAAAAGGAAAGAAATTCTAACACATGTTCCACCGTGGATGAACCTCGAGGGTATTATGCTAAGTGCAGTAAGCCAGTCACAGTCAAATACTATATGATCCTACTTATATGAGGTGCCTAGAGCAGTCAGATCCATACAGACACTGAGCAGGATGGTGGTTGCCAGGGGCTGGTGTGGGGAGAATGGGGAGTCACTGGTTCGTGGGTGGACTTTCAGTTTTGCTTGATGAAGAGAGTTGTTCTGGAGGTGGATGGTGGCTGCACAACAATGAGTGTGCTGACACCACTGAGCTGTACACGTGAAAGTGGTCAAGATGGTGAATTTTGTTATAAGTATTTGACCACATTAAAAGGTCACTTACAAAGAAGTTACAAAGTGAGAGCTGTCTTCTCATTGTAACACCAGAAGCCAGAAGAAAATGGAAGAACAGCTTCAATGTGTTGAAAGAGTAGAACTGCCAACTGGAGTAGTGTGCCCAGTACCCACCTTCCAAAAACAGGGATGAGAATGAAGATACCTTTGGAGTAGAGAAGCAGTTTGCCACCAACAGACCCCTACAGAGGGTCTAACGGATGTGCTAGTAAAAAAGGAAAATTAGCCCAGGAGGATGCGCTGAGGTATAAGAAGGAAGAGGGAGTAAATAAAATGGTGAACATGTTACAAATCTAAGCAAACATTGTCCTGATGAAGTAATAATTCGTGGGATTAAAAAAACAGACAAACCTGAAGTACTGAATAATGCATGTCATATGTCAGCAGCATGTGACATGGCTGATTACTCCTTAAAACACTCTTGACTTTGCTTTCAGGGCACCCCACACTCACCTTCTGGCTGTTCTTGCTCAATGTTGTTTTTTCAGCCCTCTTCATCCCCAGTATGTTTCCACAGCTGTGTACACCAGCCTTACTCTTCGGGCCTCTTCTCCTGTCTTTTGTTGATTGTAACAGTCCATTCAGGACAGTGTAACAAAACATGGCTTATATGGTGGCTTATAAACAGCAGAGATTTCTCTCTCACAGTTCTGGAGGCTGGCAAGTCCAAGGTCAAGGTGCTGGCAGATTCAGTGTCTGCTAAGAGCCACTTCCTGGTTCATAGATGGTGCCTTCTAGCTCTAGCCTCACGTGGTACAAGGGACTGGGAAGCTCTCTTGGGGTCTCTTATCAGGGCACTAATCTCATTCATGAGGGCTCTGCCCTCATGACCTAATCACCTCCCAAAAGCCCCTCCAAATATCATCACATTAGGGGTTATGATTTAACATGAATTTTGGAAGGACACAAACATTCAGACCATAACAGTGATCTTTTCCATCACGGATTTTAACACCTTGATCTCTGCACCCAGATCTCCTGTGAGCCTCTGACTTATGTACCCAATTCCTTACTCATTATCCCCACTTGGATGTCTTAACAGGCATCTCAAAGTTAAAGTGTTCAAAACTGAGCTCTGGATATTGCTCCCCACACCTGCTCCTCTGACATATCTTCCCCAGCTCAGTATGTATCACTCCGCCATCCTAGTTGCTCCATGGAATCATATTTGAGTAAACCTTGCTCTCATTCTCATTGGATCTTAGACTCATCAGCAAATCTTGGTTCTATCTTCAGAAATATTTCCTGACCACAGCGTACCTCCCTCACCAGTGTTGCCACCTTGAACTGCTGTTGTCTCTCACCTGGGTAGTCACAGTTGGATCGGAACTGGTTTCCCTACTTCTGCCATTTCACCCATCTAGTCATCTCCCTGTCTTGCAGCCAGATGGATTCTGGAAAGGATTTTCTTCAACCAAATTGAAGAAATGGATGACATATTTGGGGGTACGGAAGGCAAAATTCTAAACATATCCCCAGGACTCCCATTTTGTCATTCAATCAAACATCACTCTAGA